ACCACTGGCTCATTCGTATGCGTCGAGCCCCTAATTTGTGTGACAATTTCTTGCAGGAGGGCAAGTATCGTCTGGCTGTCCGCTGTCACCTCATGTGGCCCCCGAGGGCAGCGTGCGACTACGACTTCACTGCCGAGTGTCCGCTGGGAATGGCGAAAGCCCCGCGGCGGGTCCCTCCTCTCCTCGCCCACAGACACCGACTACAGCGGCCCGTGCGCCACACGCGTCGACTTCTCGTCCTTCACCGCTCACATGAAGGCGGCGTGGGCGGCCGCGTGCAACGCCCCGTTCCCTTGTCGCGCCTTCATCCCTCCCAAGCCATCCAAGCGGCCGGCCCGCCCTGTCACCACCCGCGTGGGCCTTCCAGACATCGACGGACCCATCCGTGCATCCGACGGCGCCATCATACCACCAAATGTGAGCAGCGTGCCACCTCAGCTGCCGAGCGAGGGCGACTACGATGCCGCGACTTTGGCGGCCAGCGAAGAGCGGATCGAACAGCTGGCGAAGGCAGAGGCCGCCTACCGCCACACCGACCCCGCATTGGCCCGTGACATCAGGAATGTGAGAATGCTCATTCAGAATCGGGGGAGTGCGGCCGTGTTGCATCGCTTCAGAGAGGTCAGCGGCCTGCTGCCTGTCGGGCGAGAGGGCCCACTGACCAGAGAGAACTGGCGCGCCGACAGACTGCTGCCCGGCCTGCCGCACATCGGCTTCGATGCCTTCGTTGGACGCGTGTACCCATTCGTAAGCAAATGCAGCAGAGAGGCCACACACCCCCACTCATGTGTGTGTCTCTCTGTGCGTGTCGCTTGTGTGTGCAGCGCACAATGGTCGATGCGGCGTTGGTGTCTCAGCGCGACAGCCAGCGGAGCGTAATGGACCTGTATGATGGCCAGGGCAGCTCACCCATCTGCACACAGGACTTCACGCAGCTGTGCCCGATCGGTTGGGAGAAGATCAGCCCGTCGCTGTGCCGCGCGCCCGACACTTATTCGCTCGTCGGCCCGTGTCCGCGCGTCCACAGCTTCGCCGACCTGTCCTACAGGTACACACAGAGACACACATGGATGAGGGGGACACCACGAGATGTCTTTCTGTGTGTGTGTGTGTGTTGTGCAGAGAGAAGGAGGAGTACGCCGTCAAGTGCGATGTCCGATGGCCTTGCAAGGTCAGACAACACATACACGAGACGGACGCCAACTAACTAATCCACACATTTGGCGTCGTGTGTGTGTGACTCCATCCATCAGTCCACAGAAGTGCTACCGCTCCTACACGGAGCCTTGTCCAGCCGGCTGGCGCGACGTGGGCGGCGGCTACTGCAGAGCACCAAAGGCATACACCGACACGAACGGCAGATGCAAGACCCTCATCAGCTTCGCATACGCCGACCAGACAACGAGACGTCTGTGGGCACAGGTGCGGATGTCTCTCCGTGCGCATGTGTGTGTGTGTATCTCTCTCTCTCTCTCTGTCTCTGTGTGTGAGTGAATCTGGTAGGACTGTGGCGCCGACTGGCCATGTCAGGAGCAGTGTGAGCCGGACCTCGCGGCAGCTTGTCCCCTCGGCTGGAC